TAATGCTTCAGTGAGCAAGTAAGTTAGTAATTTATCAAAATACACGGACACATTTTAAATGGGCAGGTAAGTGCTTATAAATGCAGGGAATAGTATCACAAAGGATGAATAAAAGCAATTTAAATATATAATCCTACAGTACTGGTCACTGTGGGAGGTGCAGTAGCCTCGTGGTTAGTGCGCTCGACTCAGGAATGAACGGTCCGGGTTCAAGCCCTGTCCAGGGACATTGTGTTGTGTTCGTGGGCACTATACTCTCACACTGCCTCTCTCCACCCAGGTGTATGAATGGGTACTGGCGAATTTAATGCTGGGGGGTAAGCCTGTGGTGGACTAGCATCCCATCCAGGGGGGAGTAGAAATACTCCTGGTCGCTTTATGCTACTGAAACCGGGATAAGCTCCGGCCTGATGAGCCACTCGGCTGGTATGTAGACTTTACCTTTTACCTCCCTAACAGCCATACTTTTGAATTCCAGCCATTTATGACTGATACATTTTCAACAAATTTACTTCTTTGTTAAGAAAATAGTATTCGAGATTCCAGTGATGTTATATTTTAATTTTATTTGATTTTCCTTCAAAATGTCAATGTTAATTCCCTGACAAAATAAAATTACCTAACCTTGATGAACTAATTTTCCCTAGAACTTTTCTGAACTGTGAAAACCCTGCAACCCATAGCATTCTAACTACGAAAAAGCAACTACATGTCATGTAAAACGACAAAAACAAGATGAGCTTAAACATTAAACGTTCGCCAAAACAACTATCAGTAAGGGCTTATATCAGGTGAGCTGATCAACTTTTTTTACTGACAGAAAAAATTGTAAACATCATCTCTTGCAAAATAAAACAGGGCAAAGACTTGAAGATGCACTTTATTCATTAATTTATTACTACTCTTTGAACAGCAGTTTTCAACATATTCAGAAAGGCTCACCAATCCATGTGGTCGATTCTTTTGTTGTTGATATCGTGATGCCATCTTGTTCACTCGATGAGTGTGATCCACTCAAGTTTATATCGACTGAATCGTTGCCTGATTCCCATGGTTCGAACTTACACGGCTGTATTTGGACATTTCCAAATAAGACATCAGGATCTTGATCTATTTTATACATCGGCAAGTCAATAAACGCCAGGAAATCCTTGAAACAAACTCAGTAATTCCAAGTAAATTATTTGGTTACGAAAATGAGCTCGCGAAATATGGCGTCACAAATACCTATAATTTCGTTTCCACTCCAAGCGCGGCCATTTCTGGTTCGTTTCCGTGAAGCTCTCGGAAACCGTCGGATTTTCGTGTCTTGGGCGCCACAGTTCACACAAAACTTATTTTTAAGAGTTGATTCTGCCTCATGTTGGTATAACTGACTTTTTTATAAAGGTTTTTCGACAAAAGAAAAATTGTTAAAATTTCGTTGCATTTGACCTTTAAAGGGTTAAGTTTTGTGAAAATGTTGCTAACATTTGGAATTATTTATGCAACAGACCCACTGCTACAAATTATGACTAAGTTTGTTTGCCTCCATTGACTCACCTTCGATTTTTTTAACTTTAAACCCCTGTAGACCATGCTGAATCACATGTGCCAATTTTGAAAATCAGGGTAGTTTTCTGCACGCTTTATCTCTGAAATGAAGTCAGTGACCCCCAATATTTTTTGCTTCTCTGACATAAGTAACTCTTTCTGACTGCAGTAAAAATTTTAAAAAAGTATAGTGACTGGAAAATTGCGGTGCGAACATCCTTAATCACACATTATTCATGCTCCTGAAAAATTCCACATGGTGCCAGAAGTGATAGTTGTTCTATTGATGAATTTCACAGATTAGGCACTATAGCTTAAGGCCAGGAAGGTCTCCAGCAACCAACTCATCAGTGAGCTGTATAATCATTCCATAAGATTTTGGAATGTTGCAAATCACATGTTTTGAGAACCTAAAATTCCAAATCTCCAGGGGCAGCATGTCCCCAGACCCCCCTAGAAGGGTTCGCCTTCGGTAGACAATTTTTCAAACTCCCCTTCACCAAATCCTGGATCCGCCCCAGAGTACATGTACATGCATGGGCAAATCACCTAGAATCCAAAGGATTGGTCCACTGAGTTAAGGAGTTTAACATTTAATTTGTCTATCTATATGTAGCTATAACACATCTCTTATGTGCTTTCAGGTTTATTGTTCATTAATTCCTGTTGTTGGTGGGGTTATTATTGCTACTGCCACTGAATTATCTTTTGACCTTGTTGGACTACTAAGTGCTTTGTTAGCAACTTTGACCTTTGCTATACAGAACATTTTTACAAAAAAGGTAAGTAGATGTACACATGCTACATTGTAGGTTTGTATCAGTCTTTCGTTCGTCCTGTTTATTTGTGCAATGTTTATTTTTCCTGTCCCATTTGTCCATCTATCCCTTCCCATTAGTCTACCCCACTCATCTGCCCACGAGTATAATACAATCCAGTTTTATTTTTGGTTTTAGATTTTGTGTGGCATACATTATATATTCTAGTTGATGCTTTGTTTTGTCTCTCAGTAATTATCCTCTAGCTCACACTGTTGTTGCTCATAAAGATCTTTGAGGATCTGATCCTTGAAAGATCCTTATCTTTAAGGATCTTTAGAAGGTCCTCGAGGATCCTGTAAGGTTTTTTACCAGGTTTATACCAGCATATTAACTGACAAATTTGTGGATAACTTTACCAGTTCACTCACCCTTTTTTTTTCACTTTTTTAGGCAATGAGAGACTTACAACTTAATCACTTGCGTTTGTTGTTGCTGATGGCAAGTATAGCATCTACCATGTTATTGCCAGCATGGGCATTGTATGATTTGCGAAGAATTGTTCTTGTTTTAGAATCAGTAAGTGTCTTTTTCTCTGGAAATTCTAGTGTAGCCTTATATTTCCTTTAAGAACTTTGGCTTTTCAAACCATCCCCCCCCCCTTTTTAGTCTCAATTCCACCACTCTCTCAAGTTTGGTCTACATGTAAGTTCCTCCTTGAGAAGAGTCCTTTAACCCTTTACTCCCTAAGAGTGCCATTTGGCATACTATGTCATAACTTTGTGAAAGTTGAGAGATTTCTTTGAATTTTTGCCATGAAAATTGCCTTGTGAAGATCTGCTCACTAAAGGCATAAAATTGTGACCCCCTCCTATCTGAGGCATGGTTGACCACTCCCATTATTTTCCAATTTCTTTTTTGAGATGCACATGGAATGCATGGAATGCAAGACTCACATCAAGCTATGTACTAAATAAACTATAGTTCAGAGGCATACTTTTGATATTTGAGAATTGATATGTGTTGGAAGCTTTTCAGTTTCACATTTTAAAACAATTTCTCTCACAATTACTACCTCTTTCATAACTGCTGATGTCAGTTCTTAAATAAGCTGGTCAGTGGCTTTCAAATGGTATATTGTACACAGGCAGAGAGTCTTTATTTGCTGATTTAGGAAAAACTGCTATTCGCCTTAGGAGGTAAAGGATTAAGGGGGAGGGGCACTTTGTCCTTTCCTGAACAGCAGCTGGTAGTCTAGCCTATGCCCTTTACTACTCCCACTGATCTTTCTCAGGGATATTTCTTGGAACCACACGATTACAACCCAAAACAATATTTTAACCCAACCCAACCCAACCCAAAATTTCATGTTACCAGCTTGCATTGTAATTACATCACTTCTCCTAGAAGCCATGCTTGACAACCTTGAGTACCAGTATTTTTCCTCACCTCTGTTTGTCTTCATTTCAGGGTGAGGAGGACATTTTATGGCTGATGGTGATTCTAACAATAAATGGATTTTTAAATTTTGCACAGAATATGGTAGCATTTACAGTTTTATCAATAGTCACCCCGCTGAGTTATGCAGTTGCCTCAGCAACCAAGAGGATTCTTGTTATTACAGTGTCTGTAATATTCCTGCGTAATCCAGTTAGTGCTTATAATGTGCTGGGCATGTTTGTCGCCATCTTTGGGGTGTTTCTTTACAATAAGGTGAGTCGCAGTTTTCAATCATCGTTAATGTCAGAACAGTGTGCAGAGCATGCTCTATTTTCGCTGTCCGTGAACACTTGAAGTCCGTTAAAAGCGGTATTTTTATAGATACTTCACCCACCCCAAAGGCTAGTTTTCACTAAGGCATAAGATAAGCATAAGCAAATACGTAAACGCGTTGAAGCGTTGCTAAGTAACACCTTTGGACATGAAATTCTCCTGACAAAAGGCGCTAGTTATCAGCATCTCATGTTCTGAAAACCAGGCTTAACCTTCTCGTCACGACCATTGGATTCCTTAGGTGTTTAATTTTTCTCGTGTTCTTGAAGATCTGTTAAGATTACCGTATACCTTAAGAGGTCCTTCGCGCCCAAGCGATGTAGCGCTTCCGGTTTAAACTGTAGATAGCTAAACCCCATATCAAATTAAAGCTTATAGAGCTGGCTATAAAACTACACCTGAATTTTGAAATAAGATGAATTGTCGAATTTTTTACGAGCTCTTAATGCGAGCGTCCGAATCACCTTTTGGAAGTTACAAGTCAAAGCGAATTTTGTTTCTCGCTTATTTAATTTGTTCCTTAGAGTCTGGAACCAAAGCACTAAAGAAAACGTGTTTGCGATTTGCCATATTCAATTTCAGTGAAAAGTTACAGAGCATTTTCGAAATAGGCGTAAAAAAAAACATGGACAAATAGGATTAAAAAAACATGGAGTGTTCGGAGAAAAATCGCTCTCGGAGAAAAAACATTTGGAAATAAAAAATTCACAGACAGGTTTTTGTTGTTTATGTCAAACTAGCTACTGTCCAAATTTGAGGGCAAACGAACAAATTCCTTTTGACTTGTAACTTTCAAAAGGGACCCAAAAGATGATTCGGACGCTAACATCGTTAACATTTGGACAATTCTTTCTATTTCAAAATTCTTGGTATAGTGTGATAGCCAGCTCCATAAGTTTTAATTTGATATAGCGGTGTGGGTATTTACAGTTTAAACCGGACGCGCTACATCGCTTGGACGCGAGACACCTCTAAAGGTGCTCTGAAGGAATACGGTAACCTTAAATGCCGGCAAGATCTATTAACAGACTACAGCATCCATCATTGGTGATTTCCAGTCAGTTTCTAATCAGTCTTTTATGCACACTTAATATGAAAATGAGAATCTTGCCCTATATGACACTTCACGTTTAATGGTAGTTGCTGTCGTAACGAAATCGTACCGTTTGAAAAGGACGTTCGGTTTGCATTTTTAAATTTTGGTTGTTTTCAATTATAAATTCGTGTAACAAGTGCACCCAATCGAGTTCGCATCTACCGAGTTCGCACCCCTGAACGCATTTTAAAATTTATGTCTCGAGTTCGCCTCCACCTTTTCGAGTTAGCTCCGAGGTTAATGGATTAAAGAACGAGAAATAAACATGTTTTGTGTGATTTTGTTTCATTATACCCACTAATCTTGATAGCTACATGTAGTTGAGTCAATGTGGGTGCGAACTCGGTGAGTGCGAAACCTCCAGCTATCGTTTGGTCGAGCAGTAGTTGTAGTTTGGTGATATCCAATCGAGCCAAAATACCCACAGCGAGACCAAACGAGCCTGGTATGACGCCTAAGATATTAGACGAAGTAGGATTAGATATTTATCGTACCGTAATTAGGCCATAAATGATAAATCCGACTATATCAGTCAAGTGATTTGATTTTACATGATATTAGACCTTAGATACAGCTTTTGATTGGCTAATGATTATTGTGAATTTAAGTACGGTAATGAAAGATCGACCCTGTAGCTCGGTAGTTTTTCTTCGGACCTTGCTGCGTTGGATCTTGTACGGCTTGGTAAAGACTAACATAACAAGTAGAGCCGAGCTAATTACTAAGGTAAAGATTCCCAGATACCACTACTGGTAATGGACTTCAAAAGAAGTGTAAAATATATGTACAGTCTTAGGGGTATTTTTTGGGATTTTTTCTTTACAGGCAAAATATGACGCGAACAGAAGGAAGCAGGAACTGCCGATACATACAAAACACGAACATTTTAACAATGTCACGAACAATCACAGACATTATCACCTTGTATGAGCACTGCAACACAACGGCAAGAAGATGCAACGATTAATGGGGTTTGCACGTTAGGGAATAGCGTCGGATAGCGAAATCAAAGGTTATCAAGCTTGGGAGGATTTACCCGGAGATATACGGCTCAAGTAGAGCCAATGTACCATTGACCCTCCAGAAATGTCAGGAGCAAAAACGAATTTAGCTATGATCTACTGGCTAACTTCTCTTTAGTATTACATAGCAGAACTACCGAGGTAAGTCGTAGGAACTCACAACGTGATCATGTTATTACCAACATGTTATAAGCAACTGAATTCTACAAATGAACCATTTGCGAAATGCGTCTTGTGCAGAGTGAAGAGGGCTCAGTTTAAAGCTAGTTTCCAGACTTCAGTTGGTTCTGTGCTCAGATGCAGGATGCTGAAGAAAATACGTAAAATTACGATACGGAATGGAACCCAACAAGCAAACTCGTACATGACGGAGAACATCGTGTGGAATGGATCATTCACAAGGACATGAATTAGTACGATGGCGAAGAACACAGATAGAAAGAACATTTTGTTTAAATTGTAGATGAACCGCTTTCCAAATATTTATAGTGACATTACTGACGAAGATTCTTTGCACCGTGCATGATTGCACTGCAGCTTCCTTTCCAGGGTTTCTCTTGTGACGTGACAGACCTTTTTAACTTAGGCGGTTTGTTTTCCATTACTGTCCACGTGATTCTCAAGACAAACGTTCTTTTATACGTCTAAAAGTTATTCACTCATACACACGCGACTAATTGAAAATTTGAAAGCAAGAATTCTCAAGAGTATCATCACATGGTCTGAAATGGGACAACAAGCCCAAGCTAACATAGCCTGCAGAACAGGCGGATTAGCAGGACAGAGAGCGAAACGCGATACACGAACGCGGAGCGCGACCACGCCCTTCGCGCTCGTGTATCGCGTTTCGCTCTCTGTCCCGCTAATCCGCCTGTTCTCCAAGTTAAAGCTAACAAGAGCCACTGATCACACTCTTTAGACATGTTCATTTTGAATGTAACCTCTGCATACCGAACTAAAATTCTGAACAATATCGTTCCCAGATTCCTCTAAGGGGGAAAGGGGACTCTTGTATACAGAGGTCAATTTTATTTATTTTTAAAATTACTTTGTTGTGTCTACTACGCATGCACAGTAAGACACGAAGAGGAGTTGTGGCGCTCACCAAACCAATGGGTAAGAGTGGTTTCAATGGTTTATTCACGTTACTCACTTTACCAGGAGGTGGAAATTTTACTTGCGGTTTTTCCATGATAATGGAGTTATGAACACATTAATTAAAATTAATATGTAATTTAATAGTACAACTGCGTACGCAGAGTCTTCGTTCTCCTTGAACAGTGGTGGGGCAACGAGCGACCCGGAAATATTGGACTTCCGGTTGAATTGCGCATGCCTAGCTGAAAACCATGTGAGTCAGTCGAGTCGCTGCTGTTTTACTTCCGCTCATTTTCATTGTTTTCAAAACAGTCAAAATCTAGCGTGTAACAAAACCCTGGAGAGTCGTTCGTTTCGTTAAGCTTGGGCAGTAGGGAAGGAAGACTAAAGGAATGAGATTGAAGGGTAACAAGGGTGGTTACGTGACAACTCAACAGACGTTGCGTGATGCCTGAGTAATGCCTGCAAATTGATACAGTGGGTCTAAGCGTTGTTGCTGGCACCAACGCGGCGGGAAATATAAAACAATACGAATTATGTCAGGTGGCAAATAAACTATAAAACCATGTTTCTTTTTGTTCTTTGGTTATTATTTGGGTTCTGTAGTAAAATGTGACCTTCCCACCCCGAGAGAAAGATTGAGCGAGTTTTCCCGTCCATCTTGGCTGTTCTTCATTTAGTCCAGTCAAAGACGACTTTTCTCTACGTGAAACGATTCTTTCAATGTCTAACATGTAAGTGCGTAATTATACGGTAAACTGGGCTAAAATGATGAAGAAAATTCTGATTGGTTCTCTAAGCGGTCCAAATTTTGCAATACGGACTGATGGACTGCTGAAAAATTAGTTTCGGCAAATTGGCATTTCAAAATGTACAAAAGAACACAAACAGTCTTTCTAACTCGGAGATTGCATAAGCAATCTATAGGGTTTTAGTGCCGGTTTTAGTTGTGGTGGAGATTATGCAATTGATATGCAAATGATGTCCTTCCATCATCTGTAAACTTTTTAGAGTAATTCTGCTGACCAGTAGATAAAGCTCCTGAAATCACTGTATTAGTCAATATTGCAGGCACGCATATCATTTTACATTTCTATGTCAAGGTCTGACTGCAGTTGTTGCACTAAAAATTAAGAAATGTCATAGAAGGCAAGATAACACTGGAATAATGTAAAGTAAGAGAGGATTATTCTCCATGTAAAAATAAAAAATAGCACAGACCATCAAAATTTAGGTAGAGAATTCTGCATAGTGGCCAGAGAATCGTCATATCTCTGATGCACAACAAACACCCTTGAAAAGATGCTAAATAAATAATTAGTCATCATGGTTATAATCATCATCCTTCGTGATTGTTTATCTTGTGTGACAAACCAGAGGCAAACTTGTTACTCTGAACACTTTTGAATGTTTGATATAAGAAGTTGGCTTCCTGGCATTTTCTGTAAAGCTGACATGAAGGCATCCCTTGCTTTCCGTTTGTCTCCTACTTGATAATAGCTATAACCAAGAAGTTTATATCCAGTGATATCTTCACACAGGTCACACACCCTCTCATATTCTTCAAAAAAAGCCTTTGGTTTTGTAACTTCATCTTCCAGTACTAAACATCTGACCAGAAAATAAAATACAAAAATAAGTGACGGCCCTTCTATTTTCATATGGGTTGAAATTTCTGATTGCAAATCTTCATCAAGCACTTTTTGTTCGCTGAATCCAAATTCTGTCATGTCACCTTGGATTTCTTCCTGTGCACTTTTGTTGGCTGTGTTCACAACAGTTTCAAGGATTTGTATGGACTCTTTGTATTTCCTCTGTGACATCAGAATGGTGGCAAATGTGACCTGTGTCCCACAGGAGCTTGAGCTTTGAGATTTCAATTCTTCTCGAACAAGTTCCTCTGCCTTCTGCAGATATTCAGCTCTCTCTGAAGATTCCTCTGGATAGGTGTAAGAAGCTGCATGGTATGCACAAGCCAGATTTCCCTCTAGCAGCTTGAAGTCAGGATGTTGGTTGGCCATTCCAAGGAGTTCCTGAAGCAAAAGAAGGTAAAGCCGACCATCTTGGATCAGGATTGCAGCTTCATTTAGAAAGTAAACAAGTGGCATGGGTCCAAGGAAATGGTCAAGTGTAGGATATGAATCCATTAAAATCTGAACAGCATTTTTTGGTTGGCCTTGGTTTAAGTACAGCAAACTCATTCTAAAGGAAGTTGTGAAAAATGCATCAAATGCAGATCTTCTGATGTCTCTGTGGACTTTGAACTTTTCCATGTCTTCCAAGACAAATGAAATATTTTCTCGAAATACAAAGGGGATATCTGTATAGCTAATAGCATGTGTGTCTGTAAACTTCAAAATCGGGATTATAGGATCTTTCCTTATTTCGAGGAGCCTTGACTCCATGTCTCCCCATTTCTCCTCTGGCACATCATCCACAAGATTATTGCCTGGTATGAAAAAGCTTGGGATGTTTCTTTGTTTAACACAACTCATCAAACTATCAATCAGGTATAGCAAGCACTGTCCAGTATGAGTCTCCCAGGTAGGCTTTGGAATAACCTCACAAGCATGGAAAAACACAGTTTTCAAACAGTATGAAGAAATCACCTCCAAATCTTTCAGACAAAGGTGCCGCATCATTTTGAAATAGATGTAACATTGACGTTGAGCATCAGTTACAGCACTCCTTGCTATTCTTTTTTCTGTAACTGCAAAAGAATGTCTCCATTCTATGTCTGGATTGAGGCTGTGCTTGTGTGCTACTGGTACAACTTGGCATCCCTCTGATACAATGGATTCAATCAAGTCATCTCCAAGCCAGTTTCCTTTCTTCACTCTTTGGACCCATTCAGTTGCCTCTGGGGGCCACTGCTTGACCTCAACTGCATAAACCATGTCAAGTGGAATTCTAACACCATAGGTTTGTATATTGTCAGCATTTAAGACAGTTGAATACTCAACTGATACTGCTGGACCATGAATACCAATGGATGTTTCGTCATCTTCAGACCTTCCACTGGTCATCTTCTTGTGTACTGAGTTCTGAATTCGTTGTCCGCTCAAGTATTTATTATCATTGCGAGTCACAACATCTTTCAGGTCCTCACTGTGCTTCAGTAGCCTCACTCTGCCATAACCTGGATGAACATCATCGCATTCTAATATGGCTTGGGTATCCACATTTTGGATTGGATCTATCGTGGATATCTGGACATCATTCTCAACAAACAGTACATCTGCATCAACGTAAGTGCCAAGATGAGAATCTACTTCATATGACATAGAATAAGGAATACTGAAGCCTTCTGTAGAACTGCCAACAGGTATTGCATTATTTATGAGTTTCGCTTCACAAAATGCTTTGAGTTGTGATTCTACGTTGATGTCTCGCTCTAAAGATACCAGTCGTTTGGGCAGAAGAATGGTGATGATGTAAGACAAATGATGTGGGGAGAGGCTAGCTTTCTCGTCCCATTCCTCCACTACAAATGGCACTGCAAATAACAAAGTTTTGGAAAAGTCAAATTGGTGTGGGATTTGGAGAGACGGAGAGGGAGATCAAGTTTGGTGACAAGGTAGATCTCAATATTGTATACAACTATTTCAAGAAAGGTTACCCTTAAAAATTTTGGTGCTTTTCCATACCAAGTAAAATCACTTTGGGAGATGTGTATTCAATCATCAGAAAGTCGCAACAATATCAATTTTGCTTTAAAAACATGTTTTTCCGACACTATCCGTCTGGTTTGCTGATAATACGAACGAAATTTTAGAACACATTTCAACCTTGGCAACAAACAAAAAAACCGTACCTTAATCAATCTATATATTGAAATACCTATATAACTTTGTTATCATACTCTAGGGGTTGCAGTTCCAGCGGTGCTCCTCAATTTTTATAACTGAGAAATTTCTAATTGAGTAATTCCAGCCAATGCAAGCCATGCTACATCCAAATAAAGATTCACATCCTCATAAATATTGCATTAGCCCAGGGCCTCAGTGAATTTTTGAAGATTTTCTCAGTACCATGTAACGCTTATGACCAGCTTACAAGCACCGTAGCGCTAAAAATCACTACAAATGATTTTTCAAAACATACCTGACACACAAAGATTATCAGTTTCTGCTGGAACATCTGACAAACTGCTTTGCTCGAACATCACGATCAGGCTTCTTACATGTCTGTTCAGGTATTGTTGTTCCTGTGTTAAATAGGGGGTGTTTTTCAAACGTGTCAGCTCGTATGCCGTCTTAATTAGCTGTATTTTCCATGCTCTAGGTAAGCGAGCTTGTGAAATTATATATCAAAGACAACAACGTACACGAATCCGCCCCTTTAGCATCTTAGATTAAACTGAAATCACAACATTTCACTAGTAACTGCATTCAAAATCATCTTGGATGCAAAAACACTCAATCTTGGATAAGTTACCTTGTTCGTCGGCGAGGAGACAGAAATATACAGTGTAAAATTTGTTCGCAAAATTCGTCCTAGAGAGTACAAAGTCAGCTTCGTTTGAACAGCGGTCGGGCAACGAGCGATCTACCAATCCGAAGACTCAGGCCAGGTGATCTGACCGTAAATAATTAACCAATCATCTTCAAGGAGAAATTATTTTTAAAGCCGCACAGAATTCTTTGCGCGCCTAGTAGAGCTTGTCCTGACCTTCGGCATGTAGTCTATCGACACATCGATAGGGCTGTGAGGATAAACATGACAGTTTTCAGTCGGAAGGCTTTTTTTCTCATCACGCTTTGGTTGTGAGTGGAGTTATAACTTTACTACCGAGTATTCTTAAAGATTTTTAAACTAAGAAAAGTTCAGTACACGATTATCTAGACCAACAAAGT